TGCAGACAACAGACAGAAAAAGGTCTGATTTTCTAACTTCCTTTAGATAAGGAAGCCTAGTTTCATTTAATTGTTCGGTATGCTTTCTGGTCATCTTTGCAGTCTTGTCTTTTGAATGAAAATTGTGATCAATAATTCATAACCCATTTCTAATATATCATAATGCGGTTTGGAGATGCGTTGAGTTTTTAGAGCCTTTCTTGTCGTCCCGTTTGCTATTGTATAATTAGAGAAAAAGGGAGTGCACATGCTTGCTATTGCTTCAAAGGTTGCCTGAATTGTTGAAATTTAAATATTGCGTTTTTATCACTTTGATTAATTAATTGCTATTCAGTGGATTAGGTGTGATGAATTTATTTGCTGATTTTACAATACTTTCTTTGCAGATTCAAGTCGTATATCTGTTGAATTGCCGCCTGAACTTTGCTCTATAGTCATGTCGCCTTTATCAGTCAGCAATTTATATTCATTCTCCTTTGTTCCATCCATCATGCATCGTCTTGAATCTTTACTTCTTGCTGTCAACTTGAAAAGGATGGTTTTGGATCGTTGCACTGAAAATGTTACTATTCCAACCATTAAGGTATGCTACATTTGTTCACAGGACAAAGTATTATGCTATATTTTTCATCGAGACGGCACATTTCTGTGCCTAGGTGCTTGCTAATATTTGTATAGTGAATTTCTTTTTCTTTCTTTTTTTTCCCCTTTAAGTTGATGAAAATGAATGTCACGCTAGGTTGTTTTACATGACACCTCTTTGAATTTACTCAGGATGACCCCATCCCTCTGTTTTCCTTATAAAATCCTCTATGTTTTCATGATATAACTTAGATAATTGATTATTGTTTGTGGTAAAGGCTTCAGTGGAATCATAAAGCGGTTATCCATGATGGCTCTACGACCTTCTTGTTGTCATAGTATGTATGGAATGAGTGTGATGAAGCAAGGTTTGAGTAATGCATCTTCTTTTTTATGATAAACAAATTTTCATTCAATGAAAAAGAGAGTAAAAAAGAACAGAGGACAAGGTGTCCTCTGGCCTATAAGAACTGATGACCAATTTCTAGAGAAATTTAAATCGGCCACAGAAAAACTACATCAAAATGGCAGAGACAAATTAACAAGAGTCTAAGACACAACAGCTTTCCAATCAGACAGTATAACAGAAAAGGAATAGTCCCAAAACTCTGGAGATAACCCATAAAGATTCCCCGGATCGGACTCTGCCCCCACAAACTATCAAGTTTGAGTAGATAATGTATCAGTGAGTTGATGCAGTCTTTAGATCAGCAAGTTTTTGTATTTTTCAACTCAAATATGGCTTATAATGTATCAGTGACTGGCATCGATTGTAGTCATAGTGTTGTTGTCAACTTCTAAATGGAACATGACTCCAACTCTTATCTCATTTTTTCATACATTATGCAAGTGATTATTTGTCTTTATATGCTTGCTTTTTTGTGGTTCTGAGCTTTACATCTGAGTTTGTTCCACATCAATATGTATTGCTAGGTCTTGGAAGCTATTACCACAAAACATTGCCAAGAGAACTTGCATTTGGAATCCTTAGAGGCTCTTGGAGATTCATTTCTTAAGTATGCTGCAAGTCAGCAGCTTTTTAAAACCTATCAAAATGATGATGAGGGCGATCTTACTGAAAAGAAGGAAAAAATAATTTCTAATGCTGCCCTTTGCAAGCTTGGATGTGACTGCAAACTTCCGGTAGCATTTCTTTATTCTATGTATTTTTCGTGTTTTAGATCTTGTTATGCTCATGAATCTGGCTGAAAGCTGCATTCGGATTGTTACCATTATCATTTTAGAACTTTTTCTATTTACTTTCAATGCTTTTGATCTAAAGTTTCAATGCTTTTGTATTGTAGGGCTTTATTCGTAACGAGTGTTTTGATCCGAAAAAGTGGATTATACCTGGAGATTATTCTGAAAGTTATTTCTTAAATGAGAAGTTGCGTTTTAATGAAAAAAACATCTACATTAGGGGAACAAGGAAGGTAAAAGGTAAAAGGGTTGCTGATGTAGTTGAGGCACTAATTGGTGCATTTCTTAGCACAGGTGGTGAAATAGCTGCCATATATTTCATGAATTGGGTTGGTATAAAGGTGGATTTAGCCCATATACCATATGAGAGGCACTTCCAAGTGCAGCCAGAGAAGCTCATTGATATCAGACATTTAGAATCCCTGCTTAACAACTATTCATTTCGTGATCCTTCTCTTTTACTGGAAGCACTAACCCATGGTTCTTACATGCTTCCTCAGATTCCAGGATGTTATGAGGTACATACAATGACAATGAAATTTATTGCATGCATGTCTACTGTGTAAAATGTTAATTGTTTGGTACATCCTAACTCATAACAGTGTTTCTTTTGCGTTGTGGAAATACAAAACTCAGTTCATTTCACTTCCAAGTTTGTTTGATTCTGTCTCATTGATATGCCATCTTTTACGTAAATATTCTTTATTGTGCAGCGGCTTGAATTTCTTGGCGATGCAGTGTTGGATTATGTTATCACTGCTCATTTGTACAATAAGTATCCAGATATGTCACCAGAACTTTTAACTGATATGAGGTCTGCTTCTGTGAACAACGTTTGTTATGCACGAACTGCTGTGAGAGCTGGATTACACAAACACATTCTTGCTTCGGACAGTGTCCTCCACACTGATATTGCCAACACTGTTAACAATTTTGAGAGGTTATCTATGGAATCAACTTTTGGATGGGAATCTGAGACATCTTTCTCTGAGGTTGGTTTTTAATGCTTATCATGCTTATATCATTTCTCTGCTACACTTTTTCCTTCTTTATCTTGGTTGCTACAAGTATAAACGTTTCTCCTGGATGAATCAACTTGAATGAACTCAATTGCCTTTAATAAAATCATTTACTAACTCCTCTGCATTTTAACAATTTATAACAGGTACTTGCAGATATTATTGAGTCTCTAGCAGGGGCAATTTTTGTTGATTCTGAATATGATAAGAATGCCGTATTTCAAAGTATACGCCCCCTTTTAGAGCCGTTGGTTACTCCAGAAACGATGCCGCTCAATCCTGTAAAAGAATTCCATGACTATTGCCAAAAAATGCAGTATATTATGAAGAAACCTGTGAAGTCCATCCAAAACGGTGTGGCCACCAGGACAATAGAGGTTGAAGCAAATGGGGTCGTCAAACACACACATACATCAACGGCTTCTAATAACGATACAGCAAAAAGATTAGCTTGCAAAGAATTTTTGAGGTTGTCCAAAGGAAACTAATCCGAAATGGAACAAGTTTGAAAGATGCACACGCATACAGATAGCTTCAAAGGCGTTATGAATATTTGTGTTGTAATATTGGGATTTATAATAACTCTTGATTAACCATAAGTCTGGTCACATTCAAAGTTATGTAATGATCGATCATTCTATACTACTATTCTGTCACACATAGGCATCTTATGTATATGTTTCATTCATAATGCCGAAAAAAAGTTCAAAAACTAACATCTACTTGGATTGTATTCCTAGAATTTTTTTTAAACAAAGGAAAGTGTTTGATTTTTTTTTGCTTTGGTGTACGTGTGTGCAATTTCTTCGTGGGTGGTTTGCGTGTCGCCATAATCCGTCGATAACAAGATCTTTTAGAATAACAGGACTTGATACCTTGAGGCAAATCTGAAAGGGGCTCTTCAGTGATGTCCATTGAAGCGGAATCGTTTATCTTTCTTCTTGTTCATGTTCTTCGCCATTGCTTTGGATATGGAACTGGAAAATCGTATAAAAAATCATACAAATTAACAATACCCGTGAAGGAATAAGAGAGGTATGTAAAGGGAGAGAGCAAAAAAACTTACATGAGTACAACTTCGAAGAAGAGCAGAGTCGATGTTGAAGGAAACACGAGAGAGAGAGAGAGAGAGAGAGAGAGAGAGAGAGAGGCGTTAGCGAGCTCGCTATTTTGCGAACCATGTTCCAGGCTCGCTGGATTGGACGAGCGAGGCATTTTTTACTGTTGAACTATACAATCTCATTTAAGTTAGCCTCTCCTTTTACTAAATATGGGTTTTAAGTGCTAATTAACCCAGTCCGGTCTAACGAGGCACCAAACATGTCCTTTTACAGTTTTAGGATTCTCTCTGGCTCTGCTTTTAGTCTTTTCACGAAAATCACAATCTTAGTCTCTTCTTGGATCAGTTTCTGTAAGTCCCTCCCCTTTCTTTAACTTTACTGTTGGCTTTAACATGCCGTTGGTTTCTTTACAATTTGGGCACCAATTCGAATTTGGTTGTCCTTTAATTTTGGTGTAGTTACTCTAATGTTTTTGAGATATGGTATGAGAAAGCTCTTTAGAGAAATGGGTTTGTTTTTGTTTTTGCTTTGGTGAATGATGTAGGAAGAAACAATGGAACCAATTAACATGGAGATAGATGGAGCCCAACAATCTGCTGATCCACTTGTGGTGGAAGAAGCCACACAAGAGCTTGGTAACTTCTCTAAACTCTGCCCATTCCTTGACTGCCTCTTATAAGTTATATTATACCTATAAAATTATTAGTTTACAACACTTACTGTTGCTTAAAATTCTTTCCATTTCGGTTATTTTACTAATTTTTATGGCTCGTAGATTTCTTCTGCATTTCTAATTTCCATGTGTGCAGGCAGTGAGCCTTATGATGATGAACAACCCAGTTATGTCCCAGCAGAGCTTGTCAAACCTTGGTGTTCAAATGATGCTAGTGTATTGTATCATTGCTACTTAATTGAGATGAATCAGAATTTTTGTTCTCATATTCCTGTTAACAATGTCGTGCTTGGCCTGAGGAGTGAACTTAATTGCGATATTGCAAATATGAATTTTGATTTGGTAGTTGACAAGGGTACTATAACAGTAAACTTTAAAAAGGCCGCCGAGATTCATCTTAGTTCAGAGCAAGTAATGTTTCCTGAATTTTATTACTTTTTTAGTATGATATGATACAAAAAATAAATGCAGAAGGTTCCAAATCACAATTTTTTGAATTCTAGTGGATTGCAATTTGCAAAATTTGAAAGAAGTTTTAGAGAGACTTAGTTTGGGACAAAATCTTGGGGTTGAATCTATTAATTACCTTTTGCTCCCGGCAGCAAGAATGCACCAGAAACCTTTGATCATTGATTGGGAATGCGTTATGTCTGTGCCGTTTCGATCTGAAGAAAATTCTGAGTATCACATAGATTGTTATCTACCCAACAATTGTTCCGGTGTTCTACGTACCAAAAATGGTATGGTTTGTACTTGCAGGGTCCAGAATTCCTTGGTCTATACCCCTCATACTGGTCTCCTGTATTGCATCACTGGTTTGTTGGATGACTTGAATGGAAACTCACTTCTGAGACCTAGGGGCAGGAGAGCTCGTACCTACAAGACGCACTATGAAGAAAAGTATATTCTTGTATCATATACCCCTATAATTTGCATGTGTCATCTTTGAATTTTAGTGATCATGTGTATCCAAAGAAAAGAACATCATGAAATATTCAGTGTAGTTTCTGTTTATGGTTTGCTGAAATGTTGTTGTTTGTGCCATTGAGGCAGTATATACTACATGGAGTGTGTTTTATGTTATATTTAAGCCATTTATGAGTTGAATGGTTCTCTTGTTTCAGGTGTGGGATCAATTTGCGTGTTGATCAACATTGCTCAAGGGGAGACACATTTTCAAGGTACAAAATTATCTTCTGAGTTGCAGGCAACAGAGAAAAAAAGGTCTGATGTGGAAGATGCTTTGAGTTTTTTAAAATATTTTTTGTTGTCCCCTTTGCTATTAGAGGAAAAGGGAATGCATATGCTTGTTATTGGTTTAAAGGTTTCCTGAATTGTGAAATGTAGCCTTTTTATCACTTTGATTTATTAATTGCAATTTAGTGCATTAGATATGATGAATTTAAATGCTGATTTTGTAAGGTTTAAAACAACTACATTCACTAAAGTTTTCTAGGATATAATTGACAATGCATTTTGATTTGTTAAAAAGCACAGAGTCATGCAATCTGCATTGACATTTTAATTGTGTGTTAAAATGAGGTAGAAGTAGAAAGAATCAGTGGGGGGATTTCATTCTTTCCATTTGTTCTAGTTCTTGTTTTTCTCATATTTCATTATTATTGAGTAAGAAACTTAATCTATGTTTTCTTTACAGAATCAAAGCCTATTGAATTGCCACCTGAACTTTGCTCTATAGTCATGTCACCTTTATCAATCAGCAATTTATATTCATTCTCAATTGTTCCATCCATCCTGCATCGTCTTGAATCTTTACTTCTTGCTCTGAACTTGAAGAATATGATTTTGGATCGTTGCACAGAAAATGTTACTATTCCAACCATTAAGGTATGCTACAATTGTTCACAGGACAAGGAACTATGCTACATTTAATGTTTCTACATCGAGACGGCACATTTCTGTGCCCAGGTGCTTGCTGATATTCTATGGTAAATTTCTTTTTCTTTTTTTCTTTTAAGTTGATGAAAATGAATGTCAGGCTAGGTCGTTTTCCATCAACTCTTTGAATTTGCTCAGGATGACCCCCTCCCTCTTTTTTCGTTCAAATTCCTCTATGTTTTCATGATACAAAAGTGGTTATCCTTGCTGGCTTTATGATCTCTTCGTTGTCATAGTATTTATGGAATGCGTGTGATAGAGCAAAGTTTGAGTAATACATCTTTCAGAGGACAAGGTGTCGTCTGGCCTATAAGATCTTATTAGCAATCTCTAAAGAAATTCAAATCTGTCACCAAAAACCTACATCAACATGGTACAGACAAATTAAAAAGAGTCAACAGCTTTCCAAACAGACAGTATAACAGAAAAGGAATAGTCCCTAAACTCTGGAGATATCTGAGCCATAGAGATGCCCCGAGTAGGACTCTCTCCCACAAACTGTCAGGTTTGAGTAGATAACGTATCAGTGAATTTATGTAGTCTTTGTGTCAGCAAGTCATGGTATTTTTCAACTCAAATATGGCCCATGGTTCAATTCTTTTTTCCTTGGCATAAGGTATCAATCACAGTCATGGTATTTTTGTCAAATTCTTTATTGCACATAACTTCAACTCTTTTCTTTTTTTGGGCACATTGTCCAAATGATTATTTATATCTATACCCTTGGTTTCTTGTGGTTCTGAACTTTACATCTGAGTTTGTTCCATATCCAATATCTGTTGTAGGTCTTGGAAGCTATTACAACAAAAGGATGCCAAGAGAACTTCAATTTGGAATCCTTAGAGACTCTTGGAGATTCATTTCTTAAGTATGCTACAAGTCAGCAGCTTTTCAAAACCTATCAAAATAATGCTGAAGGCCTTCTTAGTGGACAGAGGGAAAAAATAGTTTCTAATCCTGGCCTCTGCAAGCTCGGATGTGACCGAAAACTCCCGATAACAGTTCTTTATTCTGTTTACCTTTGGTGTTTTAGATCTTGTTATTATCATGGATCTGGCTGAAAGCTGCCTTCAGATTGTTACCGTTATCATTTTATAAATTTGTTCTGTTTTCTTTCAGTGTTTTTTATCTAAAGCTTCCTGCATGACCTCTCTACCATTGTTTTTGTATTGTAGGGATTTATTCGTAATGAGTGTTTTGATCCAAAAAAGTGGACTATACCTGGAGATTATTCTGGAACTTCTTTCTTAAGTGAGGACTTGCCTTCTAATGAAAGAAACATCTACATTAAAGGAAGAAGGAAGGTAAAAGATGAAACGGTTGCTGATGTAGTTGAGGCACTAATTGGTGCATTAAGAGGTGGTGAAATAGCTGTCATATATTTCATGAATTGGGTTGGTATAAAGGTGGATTTAGTCCATATACCATATGAGAGGCACTTCCAAGTGCAGCCAGAGAAGCTCATTGATGTCAGACATTTAGAATCCCTGCTTAACAACTATTCCTTCTGTCATCCTCATCTTCTACTGGAAGCACTAACCCATAGATCTTGCATGCTTCCTAAGATTCCAGGATGTTATGAGGTACATGCAAATCCAATTACGCAATCAGAGTTAAATTTGTCACATGCATGTCTAATGTGTAAAATGTTAATTTGTATGGCACATCCTAACTCATAACAGTGGTTCTTTGCTTGTGTGGAAATACAAAATTCAGCTCATTTCACTTCCAAGTTCGTTCAATTATGTCTCTTGATATGCCATCTTTTACATAGACAAATTTACTCCCTAAAGAAGCAGTTTAGCTTAAAAAGTCTCTTAGATCCCATGATGCACTTAATTTATTATTGTTACTTTCTCATGGGCTGAAATCTTTCAAGCCCTATTTGTAGTTGGCTCATCAGAAGTATGTTCTTTGTTGTGCAGCGGCTAGAATTTCTGGGCGATGCAGTGTTGGATTATGTGATCACTTTTTATTTGTACAATAAGTATCGTGCTATTTCGTCACCTGGATTTGTAACTGATATGAGGTCTGCTTCTGTGAACAATGATTGTTATGCACTATCTGCTGTGAAAGCTGGATTGCACAAACATATTCTTGCTTCGGACAATGCCGACAACGATATTGCCAATACTGTTAACAATTTTGGGAGGTTATCTATTGAATCAACTTTTGGATGGGAAATCGAGACATACTTCTCCGAGGTTGGTTTCTAGTACTTACCATACTCATATCATTTTGCTGCTACACTTTTTCCTTCTGTTTGTTTTTTTTGCTCCTACAATGTTCTTTTTAGGGATTCTAGGACTGCAAACATAGGTTAGGTAGAGGTAGAGATGGAAGAGGAATTTGGATCAAGAAAAGATTGTATGGTGTGAGTTCAGCTTGGAGTTAGGTACGGTTGCTTTAACTGCTAGTTCCATTGCTTCTCTTACTCAACTAAGCCTCTGCCTCTAAAATATTGGGGTAAGTTACATGAGTCATATTTTTAACTTTTTTTTCTTATGAAAAAATTATTTTGAACTATTTCTCAGCATGAACTCTCCATCTCCAACTCATCTTTAGTAACTATATCTTTTCTTTACCATTTCTTTTGGTTCTATCATTGTTACTGTGTTTCTACCTTCACTTTATTGCCTTCATCAACTTGAATTGATTCCATTGGCTTTATAGTTACAAGCAAATCTAAATCATATAATTTAACTTTGTTTATAACAGGTACTTGCAGATATTATTGAATCTATAGCAGGAGCAATTTTTGTTGATTCTGAATATGATAAGGATATCGTCTTTCAAAGTATATGCCCTCTCTTAGAGCCCTTGGTTACTCCAGAAACAATGCCACTCAATCACGTAAGAGAGTTCAAGGACTATTGCAGAAAAATGCAGTATATTATGAAGAGACCAGTCATCTCCACCCAAAATGGTGTTGTTACCAGGACAATAGAGGTTGAAGCTAAGGGGGTCGTCCTATACAAATATACATCAACAGTTTCTAATAACAAAACAGCAGAAATAGTAGCTTGCAATTTTTTTTTGAGGTCGTTGAAGGAAACTAATCTAGAATGAAATAAGTTTGAAGATGTTCCAGCATATTTGTTTATAGTATTTGGATTTATAATAACTCTTGGATAACCATAAGTCTTGTCAGATTCAAAGTAATGTATGTTTTGTTGCTATAGTTAAGCAATTGTCATACTGTACTGCTATTATGTGATAATATGGAAATACCCAACACAATTTATTTCCTCTTTTCATGTTTTAATTTGCAAATTTTTCAATCAACTCACACCGATAGTCCAAAGAAACTATTATGTAACACTACTTACAGATTGTTATTCTTTAAGGAACAACTCATCCATGCCCCTTCGTTCATTGGATCATATTTATTTCCACACGAAGTCAGTCATAGTGAGTATTGAAACCCCAATTGATTTCGAAATCCATAATTTCGGGATAAATACCCATTCCAATCCACTTTTTGCGAAATTTCGGTTGTCGGATTTGATTTGGGATTGTCAAAGTTCAAAATTGGCCGGAATCAGAATTTCCTATCCAACTTGCAGCCCTACACTATAATTTATCATGGACACCGTCAAGAGCCAGTTAATCTGGGCAGCAAGTTCCTTGCTGTTACCAAACCCGTTTCAAATTTAAGGCTTATAAAAGGTGGAACTCTCTCAAACGCTACCATCACAGAAGTTCAAAGATTTACAACACCACCTGTATAAGGATTTATGAACTTTTATGAAGAATTTTTTACAAAACTGACCTCAAAATTGGCGTTTTGAAACCCCTTCCCCCCCAACAATAATACGTATGAACACAAATAAACCCCAAGGCAAACTACAGAGGAAATAAAAAGAATTGTATTACATCATCCATTTTCCAAACTTCATAACATGATGACTTACATCTGCATACGGTATACTTTCTGCCGTTTAAATGGCGCAATAAACTACAGCTTACTATTTCAACTGAGGTTTTATACTATGGACATGCCTGCTCATTATGAAGTTGTGGAGTCATCCAACCAAAGAGCTGCTTCTAGTTGTCATTCCTGTAAAATGTTTAAAGGCAGACTGATGAGTTTCTATTCATACTTTAGAGCAGGATATGCCCTATTTTGTCCAAAATAAAACCAACAATGGTTGGGATATTATTTTTGTCCTACTTCCTTAGCTTGTTCTTTACATGGATTTCTGAGCTTTACTAAGAAAAATGTATATAATCTGTAAATGGAAATGAAAACTTGGAGGAGAATTTTTTTTTATACCTTAAATCAGTGAGTAGCTTGTGGCTTGAATGGGTTTGGAATTCCATTGCTTGGAATGACTGTTTCGAAAGCCTCTACAAGCAGTGATACTTTTCTTTTGCGAGCTGGAGTTAATCTCGAAACAGCCTGTTGAAGGGCATAATCAAGCATCCATTCCTCAGAATTCTTCCTCCCATCCATGTTCTGATGCTTGAGATGAACTTTCTCTGCTTCCAGGTCAGGCTCCAAGGGCAGATATCGCGGCCCTTGTGGGTTGAACTTCTTTACATTTTCCAATGCCTTGATAAATCTATTAAGCAGGATCATTTTCTTCAGATTGCTCCAGTTCTTTGACATTTTCTGGTTAGGTTTCTCTTCCACCTTAGCAACTGCTTTTTCTTCTTCTTGGATGGTAGCATTATCAGATTTTGCAGAGCTGGCAGAGTTTGTGAAAATTGAGATGAAAGATTTCCCTTGAATGTCAACTTGATTTTCTGGAGGTTCGTGGTCTGGAAAGCCTCTAGTGATTGACTTATTATCATCTGATTCATCTTGGTTCTCTGGAAGAACAATGTCATCAATCGCTTTCTCTACTTGCTGCTTGATAGCTTCAATATGCCGGAGTTCAACCTTTTTGTTGTCTATTCCAGGCAATCTGTTGGCATCATCTGCTTGTTCCTCTTCTGCTCTATCAAGGAATTCGTCTCCATCTTTTGCATCAATACTTGATACCATGTGCTTATATACTAAGAACCATAAATTTGTGTATTTCTGCTTTTCCAATTGGGTTTCATGTGGTGCACTAGTATCGCATTCCAAATGAGATTCTTCAAGGGGAGGAAATCCTTCAACGAGTCCAGATTCTGGCGTAGCTCCTCCCCTCACTTCTTCTCTTGCTGCCATTGTCTCCTCAGTTGGTTTTATGGAACCTAAAGAGACCACCATGTTATTTGCTGTTGAATCCACAGGATTTTCAGTGATCTGTTCCTCAGATGAATCAAATTTGTCATCGGTTTCGATGAATAACTTACTGGTTTCCAATTTAATGTTTTCCACCTTGGAATTCAAGTTGCTAAGTTCCAAACTTGTGATTGAAGTAACTTCTTTGGAGGCTTCTTCAACTGTATCATTTACCAGACCTTCATAAATGGTGCTACCATGTTCATCTTGCTTTAAGGAGGCTTCATCACATGACCTGGGATCTTTGGTTTCTGATAAAGAAACATTGGTAAAATCTATTATATCGTTCCCAACAATGGCTTTGTCATCCCCATCGTCAGTGTTGAGAAAAACAATTTGATTCTCCTTCTGGTCTTCATTAGTGGCTTTAGGAGCAGCTATATCCCGTTCCGTTTTAATGAAACAATGGTCTGTACTTGGTTCTTTGAGCTTAGAAAAATTCACTGGACTTTGCTGGTGTTCCACTTGAACATCCCTAGCCTGAGCTGGATACTCATTGAAACTTTTCTCAGAGCCGGACATATTCCCACCCAAGATTTCAGCAGAAATTCTAGAATCACTTTCTTTACCCGTGTGATCAGCACTTGGAACTGAAAAACCATTGCAGACTTGAAGATCTGCTTCAGTGGATTCTATTGCACTGGACCTGTGGCTAGTTTTAATTTCCGGAAATGGGAGAACTGTTTCAAAAGCTTCTACAAGCAATGCAACTCTTCTTTGTTGAGCTGGAGGTAGTTTAGATATAACCTGTTGAAGTGCATAATCAAGCATCCATTCCTCAGCATTCTTTCTCTCTTCTGTTTTCTGCTGCCTTAGATTGACTTTTTCTGCTTCTGAATCAGGATCCAAGGGCAGGTATTGTGGTTTCTGGTAATTGAGGTTCCTCACCTTTTCAACTGCCTTGACAAATCTCTTGAGGAGAATGAATTTTTTCAGACTGCTCCAGCTCTTGGGTGTTTTCTTGTCTGTCTTATCTCCTTTTGACACTGTTTTCTCTTCTTTCGGGGAACTAGTAGTTTCAGCTTTGGCCCATGTTTCTTCTGGATTTTGTACCTTACTGTCTTCAGAAGAATGACTGGAATGTGAGGTGCTCTGCTCCCTACACTCATCTTGACTCTGTCCCGATGCTTCCTGGTCTGAACTTATGCCATTAGTAAAGGATTGATCATCATACGCGCAGTCCAGAACTTCCGGGAGAAGGATGTTATCGAAAGCATCCTGTACCAGCTTAAAGGCATCATGATGGCAGAGCTCAATGTTTTGGTCTCCTCCACTGTGATTTATCAAAGCTGTATGCTCATCTGTTTCAGTAAAACTTAAATTGTTGGTTTCAAATACAGTGTTGGTACCATCTACTTGCTCTTCCTTGTCCAGTCCACCAAGAGAGCGCTGGTTTTCAACACTTGCAGAAGGTCCTTTTACTGCATGCTTGTACATCAACTGCCACATTCGGATATATTTGTGATCTTTTGACTGTACACTGTGTGCCACTGCCACATTATTGGCCTTTTTGGGATTAGATTCTGGCTGCACACTTCCATTTTTGTTCTCATTAGAAGCAATTTTTTCCTCCAATGCTTGGCAATCAGAAGAAGAGATTTCATTGTGTTCATTATCACTTATTGATTCAACAACTTCATCAGGGATTGCTCTTTCCAATTGATGAGGTGGTTTGACAGCTGCACAATCATCGAACGCCGTACTTTTTTCAATCGATGTAGGATCAATATTGCTCAGGCTATTTGTGCAAGTGGATTGAGCACCTTCATTGTGGTTAGATACAGCAATCTTTTCATCTTTCCTGTCCGTGTTGGTGGCTTCAAAATCTGTTCCAGAGCAACAACATTCCGGACTTAAACCATCAGGTGCAGAGAGGGACACCGAAGCATGCTGTTCTACAGTGTGCAGTCTCTCCTCTAAATCTATATGAGGAATTGAAGTTTCACCAAGCAGCTTTTCAGAAATATCTGAAAAATCATCATTGTTTTCACCATTGCATCCCATCTGATTTGTCTGATCCTCCTTAATCTTGCCAGATCTTTTCACCCTGACCGGGGGTTGAGTTGCCGGTGTCATGCTCCTCTGAGTCTTCGACATGCGCCTCCTTATCGAAATGAGGCGCTTCAGTGGAGGTACACTGGCATGCCGATGGCCATGAAGAGAGCAATAAGTGAATGGACAAACCTTCGTGCATGAAATTCCCTCAGATTCAGTTCCTTCTGCCTGAAGACCCCGGATGTCAGGGGACTTGGAACCTTTGAGTGCCGAAGAACATGTAGCTCTTTGTACACTCAAGTCTGGAAGTTGAGAGATTTGTTCAGAGTGTTTCCTCATGGAACACTTCTTGGATTTTGCTCTAGCCAATTTTGTTGAGGCATTCAAAGGTGACTTCTGACCAGCAGAAGCTGAGTTTGGCTTTGAAAATACTGATCTTTTCCTAGTCTCAATACTACTGCAAAAACTTGATTCAGAAGTATGAGGACTTGCCTGAAACTGTTTCTTTCTCCCATTGGAGCCGCAGGTATCCTTTGAAAAGGTTGATGATGCTGAATCTGTATCACTGGATGAGATGGCAGAAACCCCAACATGCCCAGATTTCTTTTGTCTTGCAGATGGTCTTGAGCTCTCGGAATTTGCAGGGTTACCCGCCATTCTTGATTTCTTCAGATTATTCATTTGAGTTCCTCCAGAGCTTTTCCTCATCGAAGGGTTCTTGAATTTTAAGCTAGAAATTCTTGTCAAATTCCTTACAGGCTTAAAACTAGACCGCCTTGTTATTGTTCTTGTTGAATTCTACATAGAAACCAAAAAAGGCAAAAAGGGCAATCTTCAATTTCCTGCTATTTTCAGCAAAACACAAAAACAGAAAGCTAGGCTGAGAATTCAATATACTTGCCTGTAGATTCTCTGTACTTGTATCAAAACAGGTTGACATATCAGATGAAATTGATTGTGCTGCTGAGCTTGCTGCATCACTGCATACATGGTGATTATTGGATCTCTGCCTGGCCCTTCTTCTAGATGACTTCAGGCTTGGTGATTTTGAGAGCTTGATTGATCTCAAATTTTTCAATCTCTTCTGCAGCTCTTGTGCTCCTTGGCTTCTTCCATTCTGGTTTTGCAAAATGGATGAGTCAATGGCTATTGAAAACTTCTCAGAAATTTGGCTATCACCCAAATCATCTGCAACTTCAAGCTCCTTATCAATCATTTTTTCTTTTTCTGCTTTACTGGATTCAAATTTCTGATATGAATTTGGCTTAAGGTGTTTTGGAAGCAGAGTGGTTTTTTTCTGAAATTTCTAATTGACTACAGTGACTGGTTTTTTGCTTCTAGTTTCTAACTTAATTTTAAATTTCAAGTACGTTCTCAAAACAATTAAATAAAATTCTGGTTTGAGTGGCAGCTCATTTTTGAAGATCAGACTTAGATTCCAGTCCGATTGACTTGGTCATTCTGACACATACCTTTCTTTATGGTGGTATAGAAAATTCATACATAACTAAAAGTCTTTGGTCAGAAAGACCAAAACTTCAACTAAAAAAAATACTGGTCAAAGAAGAACTTGATTGAAAATGGGAAACAATTGTAAGGAAGAAACCCTAAAACATCAAAGTAAACACTTGATTGTGATTTCTTGTAAACATGTAATGCTTTTGGAAAATTCTCATAAAACAAATAAAAAATTGTGGACAGAGCACTTTAGCAAGAGTTCCAATCTTGCACTCTCCTTGTTCTAATAAAAAAACAAATTAATAGATAAATAGATTAATACTTACCTGAAAGATATGATAGAAATAATATTCACAGTAATATGATTACTCTAGCGATATATTTGTAACTCAAGTGATGAAAAGAATTCACTCTTATATTTGCAATTGGAGATCACGATTGACTCGATTCTTCTTTTTATAATATCGCTTGTATTAAAATACGAAAGTGGGGAAATGATTGATAAAAGTGCCGGAAAAAGTGATGGATACGGTGGAAACAATAACATGCAAGCACGACTATTTAGACCTAAAAGCGTAATTTTGTCTGCCTAGCTGGGGGCCACTTAGTTGGAAGCCAGTGCTTGAGAACTAGATGCAACCCCCATGTGTATTTTTATGACAAAGATGGTTAGAGAGGACAAAGATCTGTACTAATTAAACTGTAAACTTTAAACCCACCAAAAAAGGCCACATATCTGCGGCATTTATATATGTTTGTTAATTTATCTCAAGTAATTAAGGACTAACAAAATGGTTATATTGAATTTTGATTGCATCTCCAAATTAAGATTATATGCAATGTTCAGAAGATTAGAGCAGATCTCTATGTTAATTGCATGGTTAGAAACCTCCCTCAGTATCCACGTATTTTCAAACTTTTCTCCTCGTTTTCTCTGAATTTGAATATTGTATGGTGCAATTACTGGGACATGTGTGACTTGGAATATTTCTTCTCTGGGTTGATTTTTTTTTTTTTCAAATTAAGGATTAGCTAAATATTGTCTAAAAGACATACGAACCACAATGAGGCTAGGTACAACTATATCTCAACCAAATCATAAATATATATGTCATCGCCATTTATATGAATTAAACCTGAAACATCTTTCATCAAAGTGGAAACAAATGCTATTAAATTAAAAACTTGTTGACGTTAAACACAAAGACAAAACCATGAATTTTTCAGTGGGTGGACTAGTTAAATTTTTTAGCTTAAAATCTAATGTTTTTTTCTTTCTTTTTGGTATAATAAAAATCTTACTTTTGTAGTGTGAATCCCTAAAAATTTATTGGCATTAACCAAATAAGCTTCACAAATACGAAATGCAAAATATAAATAATTCAGTTTCATTTATATATTAGTTGTACATACAAGAATAATAGAATTAGGTTAACATATTGTTCCGTTCTTAAAAGAGAATACAAATAAAATTGAGAAAATAATATTTTCCTAACGTGTTGTAGTTGATGGTGAGCCATATAGGCTTTTTTTTTCTTATTCAAAACCCTTTTGTCAAAGGCAATAGATAATTTCACCCAAAAGAAAGGCAGGAGATAATTTCACCAAAAAAAAAGGGCATTAGAAAAAAAAAAAAAAAAAAAAATTGCATATTTTGTAATGAAAAAACCAAAAGGCAGCATACTTCTTGTAGTGGGCCATATAGATGCAGGTTTATTATTGTTTTTTTCTTCAAAACTTCCCTGGGCTACTACAGCCCACCACAACCGTGGCTGTAGTTCCACTCATGGTTAAACAGTTGAAATTGGAGAACAATAAGTGTACTTACACTGCAAGTTTATTTACTCAAGTGAATCCCTAAAACAATAAGCACAAACTTTTTTCCTCAAGTTCATTTACTAAGTGATGTATTTGTATACATGTTAAATTTAACTTGTGTCAATGATTGAGTAAATAACAAATGAATAATCACAACTTACGTCATATGGTAATATTCATAAAATAAATTAAAACAATTATAGTGATAAAATTCTGTGTATAAATGTTAATCATTAAACTCAACTTTGACGGCTGTGTTTGTGATGGTAACCAAGTAGTGTCTGGTTTTGTTATCAAGGATCATTTGTTGGAATTGGCATAAAATCAATTTGTGCCTAAACTAAAATAGGTATCAATGTAGGAAAAGGAAAGCTGTAGGTTTTTGGGTTAGTTTGGACGAATGCTAACGTTAGCTTGATTTCCTAGTTTGGTTAGGATAAAGTTTTAGTCTAGGATTTAGTTTCCTATGTATAACAGGATTTGGTTGTAACATATGTCATCTATTAGTATAAAGAGATGACCTTAGGAGTAGTGTAGAGATAAGATTGTGAGGCATCTGTTTATGTACTTGAGAGCTGTTAGGTTTGTGAGTTCTCTTGTATTTCTTTGGTAATTAATAAGAAGTTTCCGTTGGTTAGGGAGATACTCCAATATTGGAGGAACCCTAAAATTCTTTTGTGTTCTTTGTTATATCGTTTATTGCTTGGTTTGGTTTCTTGAAGAAGGCATAACAAGTGGCATCAGAGTCTGAGGTTCTTGATCAAGCCAAGCAATGGCAAAGATTGATGACTCCACTAATGGTGGAGATGATGAGGGGAATCCTAGTGCTGATGCAACCAAAACAACTATTCAAAGTGCTAGGTTTGAGATTGAAAAATTTGATGGAACAAACAACTTTGCTATATGGCAGTGTGAGGTTAGAGATGTCTTAATACAATAAGGTATGCTTGTTGTGTTAGGAGACATGCCTTCATCTATGCAAAAAGATGAATGGGTGAGATTGAATGCTCATGGATGTTCTACAATTCGTTTGTGCTTGAGATAACAATAGAAATATGGCGTGATAAATATAACCTTTGTGCAGAAATTGTGGACTACGTTAGAGACAAAATACTTGAAAAAGAGCGCTGAGATTCATCTTCATCTCAAGAGCAAGTCGTATTGGTTCTAGTATAAAGATGGCACAAATATGATCAGACATTTTGAAGATTTCAACAAACTTTAGCTGAATTGGCAAATCTAGAAGAAACAATCAAGGATGAGAGGACAAGGCTTTGATCTTGATGAACTCATTGCCTGAATCCTATGAACCTTTGTCACTACATGGATTTATGGCAGGGAGACAATAAAATACGAGGAGATTTCTAGTTCTCTTATGAATTGAGACATCTTGATAGGCAAGAAAGAAATAATTTTGAAGCTTTGATGGTGAGAGGAAGATCGAAAGATAGGAAAAACTCTAATAGGAAAAGTAGCATATCTCGTGCTAGAATAGCCTCAAGTAACAGGTAGTTCTTGGACAAAGATGAGTGTGCCTTTTGTCATGAGAAAGGACACTGGAAGAAGGACTGTCTTAAAATAAAAGCAAAGAATAAAGGAAAGAAAAAGGATGACTTATAGGCAAATACAGTTGAGGTAGATGATGAAGAATTTGTTTGTGCCTTAACGGCGTCAAGATTGTGGTCTACATGAAAGAATGGGTGCTTGACATTGGTTGTACTCACCATATAACATCTCAACGACATTGGCTTTCAAGCTTCAGAGCTATGAATGGAACTATGTACATGGGAAATGATAACCCATGTTCAACTTAAGCGGTTGGCATCATTAGAATTAGACATCATGATGTAATGATTCGAGAATTACATGGAGTTAGGTATGTTCCAAACTTGAAAAAGAATTTGATCTCATTAGGCACTCAAGGCCACAAATTTTACTCTGATAAAAATGTGCTTAAAATTGCAAAAGGAGCACTAGTGATAATGAAAGGACCCGGGAATGGCTTTCTTTATCTGCTAGAAGGCAAGACATTAGAGAATAGAATGGCTAAGGTGGTTGACGAAGGGCAAACAGATAAGAATGATTTGTCTACTTCGTGGCATATGTCGGAGAAAAGGCCTTGCGAGGACTGATTAAGCAAGAAGTCTTAAATGGAGCAAAAACTGGTAAGGTAGACTTCTGTGAACATTGCTTTCTTGGCAAACAAACAAATTTAAAATTCGGCACGGCAATTCATCAAACAAAATGCATATTGGATTATGTCCACTCTGATGTTTGGGGACCTGCAAAGAATGCTTCTCTGAGTGGAAAAAGATGGTTTGTGTCATTTATTGATGAATATTCCCGCAGGTCTTGGGTATACATGAAGAAGCACAAGTATGAAGTACTAGATATTTTCTTAGACGGAAGAAGATGGTGAAGAACAAGACTGATAAGAAAATAAAAGTATTGAGGAGTGATAATGGAGGGGAGAATATACTTCTGATCCTTTCTTTAAGTTGTGCAACAAGGAAGGAATCACTCGTCATTTCAGTGTAAAAGGAATTCCACAGCAAAATGGGATTGCTGAGAGATTGAATATAACTTTGCTTGAGAATGTTAGATGTATGCTATTGGAAGCCAAGTTATCGAAGAGATTTTGGGCAGAAGCTCTAAATGCATGTCATGTTTTGAATCGATTACCATCAACTGCGTTAGAAGGAAAAACTCTAATGAAGTTGTGATCTGGAGAACCAGCTCAGGATAATGATAGCCTGCACATCTTTGGGTGTAATGCTTACTTTCATGTGAAAGAAAACAAATTGGACCTACGAGCAAAGAAAGCCGTGTTTATGGGATACAATAATGGTGTGAAAGGTTTTAGATTCTAGTTGTGGTTAGTAGGGATGTGATGTTTGATGAAAGTCATATGAAGCCAAAGGAAGAGAAGAATGTTCTTCCAAAGTGGAGCTTGAGGAGAAAGTAACCGAGAGCTTAAGTCTTAGAAAAGAAATTGTGGAAGAGGAAAGACAAGATGATTCACATGAGAGTGATCATGATGAAGAGGAGAAAGGGAAAAAGAGAAAAATTGATACCTGTCAAATACAAAGATTGTGTGGCTTGCGTGGCATATGCATTGCCAATAATTGAAGCTGACATCCCTACAAATTTTAATGAAGCAGTGAGCAATAAGGAAGATAAGCAATGATGTGAAGCAATGAATGATGAGATGTTTTATCTTAAGAAGAACAAAACCTAGG